TATAAAACAAGAATATGAAATTCTTGTTTTGTTGTCTTCATCAAACGGATAATATGCTTATTTCTTTTAACACTTACTATATGACCTTTAATCACATGAATCATTTCAATAATGATGGTTTCAACTTGTTTTATAATGTCACTATTTTCTTCATTGTGTTCACTTCTCTATGAGCTTTAATCACATTCATCTTAGTAATTCTATTCACTAATAAATAGTCTCATCAACTTATTGACCTAACGACAAAATTACAATTTTCACTATATTGAACTATTCCTATTGAAATTGGATAGTTTACAAAAGTGTTACTAAAACATGAACATTAATCACAATATTTTAAATATAAAATCACTAGATTAGTCTTCAGTAGATGACAAAATCTTGTTTAAGTTTTCTTAACCTTTCTATTTCATAAACGTTAGAAACCAGTTTACGAATAAATGAGCGATAATCGCTTTTCTATTATTAATCTCTAAGGTATATCTAAATTCATGAGACATTAATAAGTGCTTAATCACTTGACCTTTGCCGCGGAAAAGTAGTGGATAAAAAATAATGGAAATCAAATTGTGGGTGGCCCTGAAAAGGGCCTTTACTCGTTCTCGCGGTCGGACGTCGTCACTATTAGTTTGTAATTTCGCCACAGATAGGACAGTGCACTGCTCGTACGTTCGGCGATGGGTCGTAGGCACAGAAGGTATGAAACCAGCTGTCGACTGTTGGTACACCGTTGGAAAAAACGCAGGAACGCAGAAATGAATGTCGACGTTTCGCGACTTAAAAAGGCAATGCACATGGGTATTGCCTTAAAATTCATATCCAGGGCAACGATTTCATATAAATGGACGTTCTCGTTATTCGTTTTGTACGTCCCGTCAAAACCAATTACGTCACAAAAGTGACCGGCCAAATTCAATTGCTCAGCAGTCATGAAGAAGAAATACGATAGACAGTTCTCATCGTCCAATTCGTATTCGCAAAGCCCACCCAAGGATGTTATGTGAGCTTTCAATTTCCCGTAATCACCTATAGTGTACATTATAAATTGGCGAATTGCGTACCAGGAAGGTTCGCGTGTGAGAACACTTTGTACCGCATATTACAGACATCTTGATCAGTCAGACGTTTCCCATAAGATTGGTAAGCAAAATTCTTTACGTGGAATGCAGCGGTACCGGAAATCAGCAACGGTCTCACAGTTTCAAACTCTTCATCCGTTAACCTGCGCACCCACAAATTACGTCTGTACCTCTGGGAATTGCACTCGTGATTGTGATGCATATATCCACGTACAACAGTCCAATAGCCGTCTATAATCTTACAAAACATGAAGGCCGGACATTGGGTGTTCATAGAAGCCCTTCGTTAAAAAAAATTATAGAACCATTTACCAAATTACCTCCTCCGTCTAATACGTTGTGACGAACCGCTAGATCTTATACGCCCATTTCGCCAACACACAAATTTAATGTACGATTTTTGATCTCTGCCAATATGTGAATCTCTCACTACATAATGACTGTAAGTCGTTCTTTCAAAATTTGTTATAGTGGTCTTCAACGCTTCAACCGATGGAAACGCAACCAGAAACAAGGTAGTCAAAAAGACTTCCTCCATTTCCGTTACGTGAGAAACACCAGCGTTTGTACTTGGCACGTTAGTCTGCTCCATAATGACGATTGAAATTGTGCTTCGTCAACAAGTACTGATAATTTATAACAATTTTCAAGACATAACTAACCAATTAAATCTAATTTTTGAAACTAGCCATTTCATTGGACGAAACACGGGATGAAAAATATTGTAATTTGGGGGAAAACATTTAGTGATGGTGGAGAAAATTTGTAGCTCTGGTGGATGATTTCGGTGGCGTTTTGTTCTCTGAGCTGGATGGTTTGATCGTGAAACTTTCATCGTTCTTCTGGGAAAACATTTAGTGCACGGCCATTTTTGTATTTTTTTTTTGAGTGCAATTTTGTTTTCGTCCCTTTTGAAAAAAATTTTCATCCCCATCTTCCAATAATTTTCATTCTGTTTCGTCCAATCAAATAACTAGTTTTGAGTTCGTTATAATCGGTCATTTATTTCTCTAAATCGATATAAAATATCAGGACACGACGACAGAGCACATTTTCTTACAGTTATGGACCGTGGTAGCATGCGGAGTACAGTCTCCGTCGTTCATCAAGTTGTCACAGAAACCGATAACCTATTCTTGAGCACATTGTGTCTCGTAGCGTTCCAATCTCTTGAAGCGTTGAAGAGCGTCTTGAGAACGTATGAAAGAGCCAACTAATGCCATTGTGTGGTGAGGGATTCTCATTTCCATAGAGATCGAAAGTCGTATATTAAATTCGTATGTTGGAGAAATGGCCGTAGAACACCTAGCGGTTCCTCACAGCTGAGTAGACGAACGAGGTAATTTGATTAGTGTTATTATAATTTTTCATTAAGGACTACCGTGAACACTCAATGTCTTTCCTTCATATTTTGTAAATTATCAACTATCAAAATAACCTCAATATGGATGCAACGTTAAGGAATGACGAGGGGGAAATCGGTTCGATGAACTCAGACGATGACGACAATGACGGAAACGCATATGACAACAGACTTTGTGATATTTGCAATCTCGCGCAACCGCCACATGAAACTACTGATGGAAGTGAATAGATTTTCTTTGTCCACGCGAAGCAATGCTTCATTTATTTTTTGCCTACGACCCATCACCACACGTCCATGGAATCCACTGTCCCATGTGCGACGCTATAACGGAGTCATATCAAGTCTTTCGTTCATGAAATTCGGAATTGTTAAGAGAACGAGTAAACGCCCTTTTCAGGGCCACCCACAATTTGATTTAAATTCTTTTGTTTCAATTTCTTATTTCCATACCAAACGTCAAGTGATGAAACCATCAATATTCATTTAAGATTAATAGTCATTATGTGATTATCGTCGACGTATTCGTAAACGCTTTTCAAGCTTTATCAAATATAGGGTTTAAGTAAACGATTTCGTATAGGAAATGTCATCTAATGAACATTCATCTGTCTAACAATAGTACATACAAAACTGGTTCAGAATGTTTCAGTGTTTTGTCATATAGTTACGATAGGCGAATGTAGTACTATCAGTTCACTAGTACAACGACATCATTTCTATAGGAAAGGTCAACTGAACCAACAATGATGAATTCTAATTAAGCCTTAGTGATTAAGCAATATAATCAATTGAGATTTATAGAAATTTCGTGGATTAGATCATTTAAAGAGGATTTTGGAAAAAATTTTATAACTGGTTTTAATAGTTGATGATAATAATAACTGACGTTGAAAGGTGGTCAAATTTTTAATACACAATTAGTAAAGAAATCATTCATCGAAGTATTCCCATTAGTTTTTTTTTTAACACATCGTATGTTATTTTATTAAACGTTATAGGCGTAGCAACTAATCCATAAATCATCATGATAAAAAATAATGAATAGGGCATGCATAAATCACGCTAACCGTTAATGATCGGTGAATGAAGGAAGCAAAATAGTAATAACTTCTCTCAGAAAATAGCAAACAATATTTATGTGATTGGATTCTTTTCCAAACAGTCTAGTTTCGCTGGAAAAATGGTGTCATAAATAAATGGAAGATTGTCCATTGTGTTATTTTGCCAATCCATTAAAAGTGTTACTTGTTTCTACCTGTACATTCTTTGTAGTTGAGCAGTTTAAAATTAGGACAAAAAAAAATACTTGTCTATGTAAATAGTCATGTGATGAATAGATTATTGTGCTCGTCAATTGAGCTTAACAATGTTTTGCACGTAATGTCAACAGCATATTTGCAGTTAAAAAAATCCCTATAGAATATTCTACATTGTTGAATAACAATTTTTGACAAGTATTTGAAATATTGGTTACCTTAAGTGTAAAAGAACAAGCCTACGTTTGAGGAAATAAGTGTCTCTCTCAATTACACAGCTTAATACGATTCACAACCTCATCAACTGACTTATCATCATTCCCTAATACCTTGCATCTAACCTCGCTGTTACTTATCCGATGATCCCAGCAGATGGACGCAATATTTCTAAGACATCTTAATCAAAAACTTAACAATCTCCACAACCCCTAAACTGATAAAATATATATTCATTATCAATTATCCAATGAAATACGAGCTTTCTTGGAAATGTTCCATACATATAGATATTCAGAAAGTCAGAATCATAAGTGAAGTTTCCAATTTACATTTTCATATTAACAAGCAATTACAATGAATGAATGCATCAACAATTAATCGTCAACAAGAACCCCACGCCTCAACCCCCCCCCAAATGATTGATTTCATTATGCACAAAAGGTTTATTAATGTATGGCATATTATTACAAGTAGCGTATTACTTAATTAACTAATAAGAGAAGAAAAAGAAACACATTCACAATAAGCATAAACATCCAATCTGAAGTTAATATAGGCAGATATGTGTTCGTATGAGGATAGATGAATATCCAATGAAATCATTATTGATCCTAATGATAACAATAGTTGAGTAGTTGTCAATTAGATCTAAGTAGTTCAAGAGTTGCCATATATATTATCAGCAATGATGATAACTTTGTTAAGGATCTTTTGTAAATTGTACAATGAAAGGTTGTAAACTTTTTTTTAAAAAGATACCGGAATTGATGATGAGACTAATGTATATACACATAGATCTATATACATCAATGAAGTTACATATTCGATTAGAAAAGGATAAAATATCACAGTTGAGAAATTGTTGTAAGTGAAGATCAATACAAAGTTCATCTTTGTTGAAAATAAAAGTATATTGATTTCAATTATGTAAAGGGTTGAGATAGTGGAGAAGATTTGTAGCTTAGGTGGATGTCGTTGAAGGAGTTTCGTTCACTGAGCTGGAAGGTTTGGTCAAACCATGCAGCTCAGTGAACAAAACTCCATCAAGATGTAAAGGGTATGTAATAGGGTATATGTTCATTAGAATTTCATATTTCTTTGTTGATTTTGATCTAAAATAGAAAAAAATAAACGATAATATCTAAATATGGTTATGATATGTTTATTAAGGGTTTAATCTACAAGGTAGTGGAACGACGTCAGGGAATGCAGTAACATATTAGCCGGCAATCAATAATTGATTATTACACCTTTTGTTTACTCAGAATCATGGAGTCTATGTACACTATTGGTTTGGAATGTAGGTTTTCCAACTCCTCTAGATTGATCCACTTTATCCATCAACTCAGTTAAGGTGTCGGACATTCTTAAACAACGTTTGATCAACAATAGATTCATACGCTATTCGCCCCCTCAGGATCCTGAAGCCCATGTGCACCATTGGTTTAGAATGAGAGTTTTCCAACTACCCGAGGTGGGTTCTCCATGTCCACCGACCTCGTCAAAGGGCCGAACATTCGCTTTTTGGTCTCTCAGTTTCGTAAACAACAGTGATGCCGCGAGAAGACAGTGAATAGGACTCTCGTGGCAATGACTGTATACTTGTTGTCATGTGTGAACATTTGGAGAGGGAGAGCTGACTCTCTCCACTCTCGACCGTACCATCGCATTTGGCGACATCTTGGCAACATGGTAACTTAATTGTCAGAAATCAGTCAGCACTAGGAGGCTAAACAACTATAATATATTGATCACTACCGAGTGACCAAAAACATACAATTCATTGATTTTACTTTACAGGTACATCCAGAAGAACCTTTCCACCGTGTCCGTCAGTCAGTCAGTAACAACGTGGAACTTCATACGTACGTACATCAGTTCCAGTTGCCATACCACATTAGCACAGAGATGCAATTGTCGATTAAAATCCCCTAGTGGTAGTGGTAGTAAAAGTATAAGCAGTAATCGGAAACATTAGGCTTGAAAGAGGTCATTCAAGGAGTATAATCCATTGGAATGAATTTGGAAAGAGAGAAAACGAAGGGAGATGAAGAATTCAGGTGATTAAAATTTGGGAGAACACAAAGAGTGGATGCACCTGTGCCATTGCAAATGATTTTGAGCCATGTTATTCAAGGTCTCTAACCATCAATTTTTATCATCACGTGGATCCCAATCAGGTAGTCTACACCTGCCAAAATGGATCATTCCACTTGTAAGTTACTTCATGGATTTATACCATGTTTTAGTTTGGCCGTCCATAGCTTTTTTCAACTTACTCCTACACCACAAAACATCGCACATCAGGGCTGTTGGTGGTTGGGCATCCGTAACACATGTCCCAGACATCTCAACTGATGAAGTTTCACAACCTCATCAACTGACGTATCATCATTCCCTAATACCTTGCATCTAACCTCGCTGTTACTTATCCGATGATCCCAGCAGATGGACGCAATATTTCTAAGACATCTTAATCAAAAACTTAACAATCTCCACAACCCCTAAACTGATGAAATATATATTCATTATCAATTATCCAATGAAATACGAGCTTTCTTGGAAATGTTCCATACATATAGATATTCAGAAAGTCAGAATCATAAGTGAAGTTTCCAATTTACTCATTCATATTAACAAGCAATTACAATGAATGAATGCATCAACAATTAATCGTCAACAAGAACCCCACGCCTCAACCCCCCCCCCAAATGATTGATTTCATTATGCACAAAAGGTTTATTAATGTATGGCATATTATTACAAGTAGCGTATTACTTAATTAACTAATAAGAGAAGAAAAAGAAACACATTCACAATAAGCATAAACATCCAATATGAAGTTGATATAGGCAGATATGAGTTCGTATGAGGATAGATGAATATCCAATCAAATCATAATTGATCCTAATGATAACAATAGTTGAGTAGTTGTCAATTAGATCTAAGCAGTTCAAGAGTTGCCATATATATTATCAGCAATGATGATAACTTTGTTAAGGATCTTTTGTAAATTGTACAATGAAAGGTTGTAAACTTTTTTTTAAAAAGATACCGGAATTGATGATGAGACTAATGTATATACACATAGATCTATATACATCAATGAAGTTACATATTCGATTAGAAAAGGATAAAATATCACAGTTGAGAAATTGTTGTAAGTGAAGATCAATACAAAGTTCATCTTTGTTGAAAATAAAAGTATATTGATTTCAATTATGTAAAGGGTTGAGATAGTGGAGAAGATTTGTAGCTTAGGTGGATGTCGTTGAAGGAGTTTCGTTCACTGAGCTGGAAGGTTTGGTCAAACCATGCAGCTCAGTGAACAAAACTCCATCAAGATGTAAAGGGTATGTAATAGGGTATATGTTCATTAGAATTTCATATTTCTTTGTTGATTTTGATCTAAAATAGAAAAAATAAACGATAATATCTAAATATGGTTATGATATGTTTATTAAGGGTTTAATCTACAAGGTAGTGGAACGACGTCAGGGAATGCAGTAACATATTAGCCGGCAATCAATAATTGATTATTACACCTTTTGTTTACTCAGAATCATGGAGTCTATGTACACTATTGGTTTGGAATGTAGGTTTTCCAACTCCTCTAGATTGATCCACTTTATCCATCAACTCAGTTAAGGTGTCGGACATTCTTAAACAACGTTTGATCAACAATAGATTCATACGCTATTCGCCCCCTCAGGATCCTGAAGCCCATGTGCACCATTGGTTTAGAATGAGAGTTTTCCAACTACCCGAGGTGGGTTCTCCATGTCCACCGACCTCGTCAAAGGGCCGAACATTCGCTTTTTGGTCTCTCAGTTTCGTAAACAACAGTGATGCCGCGAGAAGACAGTGAATAGGACTCTCGTGGCAATGACTGTATACTTGTTGTCATGTGTGAACATTTGGAGAGGGAGAGCTGACTCTCTCCACTCTCGACCGTACCATCGCATTTGGCGACATCTTGGCAACATGGTAACTTAATTGTCAGAAATCAGTCAGCACTAGGAGGCTAAACAACTATAATATATTGATCACTACCGAGTGACCAAAAACATACAATTCATTGATTTTACTTTACAGGTACATCCAGAAGAACCTTTCCACCGTGTCCGTCAGTCAGTCAGTAACAACGTGGAACTTCATACGTACGTACATCAGTTCCAGTTGCCATACCACATTAGCACAGAGATGCAATTGTCGATTAAAATCCCCTAGTGGTAGTGGTAGTAAAAGTATAAGCAGTAATCGGAAACATTAGGCTTGAAAGAGGTCATTCAAGGAGTATAATCCATTGGAATGAATTTGGAAAGAGAGAAAACGAAGGGAGATGAAGAATTCAGGTGATTAAAATTTGGGAGAACACAAAGAGTGGATGCACCTGTGCCATTGCAAATGATTTTGAGCCATGTTATTCAAGGTCTCTAACCATCAATTTTTATCATCACGTGGATCCCAATCAGGTAGTCTACACCTGCCAAAATGGATCATTCCACTTGTAAGTTACTTCATGGATTTATACCATGTTTTAGTTTGGCCGTCCATAGCTTTTTTCAACTTACTCCTACACCACAAAACATCGCACATCAGGGCTGTTGGTGGTTGGGCATCCGTAACACATGTCCCAGACATCTCAACTGATGAAGTTTCACTACTTCATCAACTGATTGGCCATCCTTTCCTAATAGCCTTTTCCTAACAACCGGGTTACTTATCCGGTGTCCCAGGATATACGAGCAATGTTTCGAAGACACCTATGATCAAATACTAGTAACCTACGAATATCCTCTACTCTTACCGGCCATGTTTCACTCCCATAAAGTAGAACGAGACTAACTGTTGTGCAGAAAACACGTCCTTGGTTTGATAGACGGATATCTCGCCTACACCATAAATGAGGCAAGTTGGCAAAAACTAGTCCAGCCTTCTGTATTCAGGAAATAATAACTTCACTCATACCTCTAACAACACTCAAGACCACTGTCTAACTTTTTTGAATCATCAATTCAACTATTATGATACTGTAATCTTTCTTAAATCTTTATCACTTCAATCAACTACTTCGCTCATTTCCTTGACTTCAGATTCGTATAAACTACCATCTTTTACAGTTGATTGATCATTGAGTGGTGACCAATGTCATTCGTGTCAAGTCCTTCTTAGTGCAGATCGAATCCTATCGACCATAATGCAATGTGACCACCAGTCAAAGTGACTCGACATTACGTGCCTGGGTCCAGGGTTTCGTGACGAGTATCAAACAGCACCAAGCCAGGTCTAGGGCTTCCTGTCGACTACCTCCCACCGCCATCTAACTATCATCTTTCACTTACATTGATCATCATAATATCTAAGATCATATATAGGTGATAAATATGAGTTCATATTTGTTGGATAAACAATAGAATTTCTAATTGTTCTATGTAATGATGATTGTAAATATACATCATGATTAAGATGATCATTTATCAATGTCCCATTCATAGAACTACTCAAATGATTAGTTGATAGATTTGATGTATTGAATGAAGTATATTTTTGTCCTATCAATTGATTATTATTATTGTAGTAATAATCATTAGTGTTATTGTTGTTGCTATGGTTACCAGTGTCATATGAGAAAGGTAATGAACAGATTGGATTTGTATGTAAATGATTTGTGTAATCAAAAGGATCATTATAAGTAGTATTAATAGTAGTATTGACATTTAGATGATCATTTATTGATTGATGTATGATATTTGTATCCGGCCAAATCGATTGATTATTATCGATTTTCGATGAATATTGGTCTTTTTTATTGGTTGATAAACAACTAATTAGATATGGTTTCTTTATTGATTGATCATGATTTTTGGTTGTTGTTGTTGTTGTTGATATGATAATTACATTCCGTTTTATTGATATGATGATTGATTTTTTGTTTACAATAAGATTGTATCCATATCATGATACTACTTATAATAATAATAATAATCAATAATATCATTGAAATAATCAATATAATCAATAAAAATTGATGATTATGATGATTAGATAACCATAATGTCATTGTCTTGTGATTCGAATTGATTATCGATTGATTAAATGAATGAATTTTAATAAAAAATTGTGTTTCATTTGATGATAAAGATGGTATACCCATATCTTTAAGTGATATCTTGATATGATAGATCCCTTCAATAGGTGCATCGTATGATGGATTCGTATCCATATTAATCATTGTGGAATCATATGCTGAATCAATGAACCAATTTGTATATAATTTACCATTAGATTCATTTAAATAAAAATATTGACTACCATTAGTCAATGGATTTAATTGATACAATATAGTACCATTTAAGCCATGATCTGGATCATAACCTTTGATTTGTATAACGAATGTATAAATTGGTGTATTTGTATGAATCATTATGGAATGATTTGGATCTGGATCATGATCATAATGATCTTGATCTAGATCCTGATTTTGATCTGGATCATAATCACCAATAATACGATTATAAATAGGATATATACATAATGGTATATTATCATTTTCATCTAATATATTTATAGTGAATGTATATGTGATACTATTTATTGATTTTATATTATTCATATTATTATCAGTATTATATGTAATAATTCGATAAAAAAATTTATCGATTTTTTCACGATCAATAATTAATTGATTAATCAATATCGCTTTTAATTCATATTCATTAATTAATTCATTATGATTGATTTGTTTATAATGAAATTTTCTATCAGGTATAATTTTAATATAATGATTATATTGATTATCGATTGATTGGCTATCGATCGATGGATTATTGATTAGTTGATTATTGCTTGATTGGTTATTGATTGATGGATTATTGATTAGTTGATTATTGCTTGATTGGTTATTGATTGATGGATTATTGATTTATGGATTATTGATTGATGGATTATTACCTAATAATAAATGTATCATTGAATTTTTTGAATCTTTATCTAAATCAATTAAATGTATAAAATCAATAAAAGTATTGATTTTTTGATTTTCAAGAAAATCAATATTGATATGATTATTATTATTATATAATATTGGTAAATGATCATTAATATAGATTAATTGTATAATTAATTGTGTATGAGTCATTAAATTTCCTTTATCTATAGCTAATATATTTAAATAAAAATATTCAATTTGTTCACGATCTAATAAATGATTATGTAATACTGTAATGATACCATTGAATGGATCAATTTCAAATGGTTGTTCATATTCTTGTGGATGTCTGGAATACTTCGAATGATCTGGATCTTCTTCATCATGATCATCAATGTAATTGATTTTAATTGATAAGTTAATTGTCCATATTCACCTTTATCTAAATCATGTGCTTTCATTTCAGTAATATATGAACCATCTGATAAATGTTCTGGTATTTTAATATAATATTTGGATTGTTTAAATATAGGTATATTATCATTTTGATCAGAGATAGCTACAGTGATACGAAATCGATATAGATATTTCAATAGATCCTTTTGTTGAAAGTGTTGTAAAGTGAAATTTACTTTATTGACTGGAACTATATCAGCTAAATCATAACAATCAATTAATAATGAAGCATATTGAATCTGTTCATTATCAAATATACCTTTTGTAAATATAAAAAATACAGTATCTGAGACTGGATGTAAATGTAAATAATCTTGACCAGCTAGAAGTTCTTTATCTTGAAGATGATTTGATTCTAATGGAGTTGGTTTACAAAGGATCTAAAAAGAAAAAAACACCATTCAAGAATCTTATATGTATTTTTTGATTGCGATTATGAACCGATTGATGTTCGATCACCATTGAAATTCCGGAAGCACTGGACAGCCGTTTCGTCCTATTGTGTAACTTCTCGGCAGTGCACATTCACGGGATTCGAAGCCAGGGCACTCAGGCTTAACCTACAGGACCACTGTTGAGGAGTCTCACGATAGGACGAAACGGCCATCTAGTGCTTCCAGGTTTTCAATGGTGGTCTAACATCAATCGGTTCATGATCTCAATCAAAAACTTAAAAACCTCCATAACCTCTAAACTGATAATCTTATGTATTTTGATAGAGTTTTGTTCTGTGAGTTTGATGGTTTGATCGTGGAGATTTCATCGTTTTATTGAATGACATCATCGGCAGCACAAATTTCAAATAGAAGTGAAGTGTTCAAATTTCTTCATATGTGATTCACAGATTGTCCTGTACACCTCGATGTTGATTAGTTCTTGTTGATTTTAAACCTATGATAGTTTACTTCTTTGTTTTGGTTATATCTCCCATTGGTTTGATTTTTGTTTCTATGTTTGTGCACTATTATGAACATTTGAAGAAATTCGAACATTTCATTTCTACTTGAAGTTTGTGCTGACGATATCGTTTAGAAGAACAATGAAAGTATCACAACCAAACCATCCAGCTCAGAGAATAAAACTCCATTAAAATGATCCACCTGAGCTACAAATATTCTTCACCATCTCAACCTAATATATGTTAAGTTTTGAAATAATACTTGTCACTGGTTCAGCTTATATGTTATAACATGTAGATATTGTAGCCTATTAATACTTATTGACTTAATTACGCCTGTTAATCCTCGTAAAGAAGCATAGGCCGTTCACCAGCATTCTCCATCCAAACCTATTCTAAGCAATCCTTTCCATCTCTTTACAGTTGTTATTCATCCTTCTCATATCTATTTCTATTTCTCGACGTAATATGTTCTTCAGCCTTCCTCTTTTCCACTTCCCCTTCAGGATTCTAAGTGAGGGTTTGTCTAGCGAAACAGTTTGGTGATTTGCGTAATGTATGTCCTATCCATTTCCATAATCTTTTCCTAATTTCCTCCTCAGCTGTAAGCTGGTTTGTTCTCTCCCACAGAAGGCTGTTGCTGATGGTATCCAGCCAATGGATGTTGAGTATCTTGCACAAACAATCATTTATAAATACTTGTACCTTCTTGGTGATGATTGTAGTAGTTCCCCAAGTTTAAGCTCAGTACAGTAGAACTGCTTTGACGTTTGTATTAAAGTTTGGTACTTTGATATTGGTTGGAAGTTGTTTAGAATTCCACATGTTCTTCAATTGTAAAAATGCAGCCCTTGCTTTGCCGATCCTCGCCATTACGTCTTCACCAGATGCTACATGTTCATCGATGATGCTTCTCAGGTATGTGAAGGATTCTACATCTTCCAGAGTTTCGTCATCATGCGTAATTGGAGTGGTTTTCTCCGTGTTGTATTTGAGGAATTCGGCTTTTCCCTTGTGTATGATAACTTATCAATATGTATAAGTACTGATAACCGCAATTAGAAAACAGTGATTTATCGACCGAACCCACTACTCGCAAACCCGTACAAGTAGTCAAGATTCTTTAACGATGCTCTTTTGGTTTGAATATAACTGCAGTTAGTACCATTGATACAGATAGGATATCAGTTGTTATAACTTGTAGGCTTGTACTCCTCTCAATGTATGATTTAACGATACTAACAATATGAGAACAGTGGTTCATCGACCGGACCAATGACATATAAACCTGTACGAGTAGTCTAGATTCTGCAACGATCCTTCTTCTTGACTAGCTCTGCATGCCTATTGAGTCCAGGACATCAATCTCATCCACTGTGATATAAACATACTTCGTTTACATACAAACAAAACAGATTCTATTGTTTCTGTCTACTATATGACAGCTATCGATCAAGTGTGATAGAACCGAGCTGCGTATTGTTTTGACGTAACCTTTTCCGAACCACGATGGGAGGTGTTCACTAACTCGTTGGTTCAGTTGCCTGGTAGTGCGCCCAATATAGCTTTCTCCACAGGTTATGCCACTTCTATATGTATCGACGAATTCAGCTGCTCCTGTGGAGAAAGCAATATTGGGCGCACTACCAGGCAACTGAACCAACGAGTTAGTGAACACCTCCCATCGTGGTTCGGAAAAGGTTACGTCAAAACAATACGCAGCTCGGTTCTATCACACTTGATCGATAGCGGTCATATAGTGGACAGAAACAAGTCGTTCAAAGTTATTAATCGGATTCCCACTAGTTTTCCTTATGGTGTTCGATCTCGTCTCTTACACATAGCAGAAGCTCTAGGAATCCGAACGAACAAGCCAAGTCTTTGTGTTCAGTAGAAATTTGTAACTCCCTTATCTCTTCCTTGGCCTTAATTAATAAATGAATTTATCTATTTATTCCTTTTCTAACTTTCTCTTCGTTTATTATTTTTCTTCACACCCTTCTACCACTTTATTTTCTCTCAATTATACGTTTCATGGTCCAATTATCTGAACATTTCTTATTACGTCATCTTATAATTTTATAATTGTTATCGCAGTTTCTATATTTTTTTTCTAATCATTGACCTATTTCAGATTATGTAACATTGATTTGAACCTTTATTATTATTGCTTATCAAAACTAATGCACCTATTGTCACACCATCAATTTGTACTTTTCACATTTTACTTATTATGTAATCGTTTTCATTGTTATCATCATTGATTTATAAACTACCTTGATTGGTTTAATAAATTCGTATATGCATATAAATACATTACTGTATATTAGAGTAAAGCCTGATGAGGATCTAATCAAAAACAATATTGTTCGCTTATATATGTTGTTCCAACATCTATATATACAAATAAATAAAATAAATGTTCGGAATAAACTTTCACAGTTCTTCCCAGATGCTATTCATCTTTTACATGTGTGATTCTAATTCTCAACGTAATGTGTTCTTTGACCTTCCACTTTTTCTTTTCCATTCAGGATTCCAAGTTAGTGATTGATTCATGATGCAGTTTGATGATTCAGCAATGTATTTCTCGCACACTTTCAACATCTTTTCCCTATTTACTCTTCAGGTTGAAGCTAGTTTGTCCACTCCTTCAATATCCTGTTGCTGATGATATCAACATCAACAGAAATTGAATGTCCTACATAGACAATTGTTTATAAATATTTGTACCTTTCTGATGATGATTGTGGTAATTCTGTACGTTTCAGCTCAATACAGTAGATTTGTCTTGACGTTCGTATTGAAGATTCTGTCTTTGATATTAGTTGACAGACAGTTATATTTAGTTCCATATCGTCTTCAAATCCAAGAATGCTGTCCTTGTTTTCCCAATCCTCTCCCTTACGGCTGTGTGTTTCTTTTTCTTGGTTTCACCAAAAGTATTTGGTATTATTACAACATTCACTGGTGAAATAGACCATGGAAATAATGGGAAAGATTCATTATCTAGATGAATAATTTTATGATACTGACTTGCTTTATAGTTGATTTACAATGCTTACGTTGCTCAAGTTCACTTGATGTGGAGGTGGGGCTGTTAATTACTGCTGGGAATTAGATAAAGTCGAGGAAACTGTAAGCATGTTTGAAGAATATCAGGACACATGGTATTCACATCAGTCTATAATCAGTAGATAAATCAACATGAATGAATAGGAATATGGCCAATCAGTTATCTGTTTGATTGAACAAAACATTCAATGAGAATGTTGAAACTGATGAATATCAAATTTCTGAAGACGTTTAATCATAACTAGTCATTAAAGTAGATTAGTCAAGCGTTTTGAATGATCGATTCCAGGTTGAAGCAAGTTTGCCTAATGCTTTCTGAGATCAAAAATAGCACCTATGAGTTGACAATTGATTGATCTCTGTTTGGTGATCAATGTCATGTATGTCAGGTCTTTCTTAGTGCAGACTGAATCCTATTGAACAAGTAACAATTTGGCCACTCATCCGAGTGATTCGAAATTGTGTGCACTATGTTGAGATACGGTCTCTAACTGTGAAGATAAATGATTCGGGAACGAATCTGCTAAAAAGTATCAGTTTCATCAAGATTAAAGGTAAAGTTTGATGAGAAGTGCCAAATATCACGAAACCTGAATCCTTGGTTTCCTGATGACTACTTCCAACCAGCATCTTACTTTTGAATGAAACTATCAATATTAGAGAATGCATTGTCACTGAACCAAAGTAACAACTGGCTAAAATGATTTCATTGGATCTGGTTCTCAACATGATCTATTGCAATATACACGTTATGGTGTTTTCCATGAATAATTGCAGTCAATCGAATACAGTTTATGACTTGACTGATTTAAATTTAGTACCTATCAGGTTGTATCCACAAGTAGTAATTCATTATAATTAGTTAGATTTTAAATGATTCCATGTTTACAGTTTAAAGCTGTAGAGATTATCACGTTTTGATTGAGATCATGAACCAATCGATGTTAGACGACCACTGAATGCATGTAATTACTGAATGGCCGTCTCGGTTTAGTATGGGACTCCTCAGCAGTGCATATCCACTATCCCATTATCTAACCATGTTAATATCTAACTTCAATCCTTCTTTTAATTTGTTATGAAGCAATCGCTAACTTGATTTCGTTTTTCTTTCTGTTTTTCTTTACCGGACGATTCAAACGTTGCATCATTTCTATTCAGTCAATAAATTATATTCTAACAAAAAAGGAATGAAAAATAATAAAAAAATTAAAGAAAATAAGTGACAAAATGTTCTGATGGAATTATTGATTATTTTCGTTCTTGTTGTTGTTGTCGTTGAATAAATTCCCCACAGAGTATACTCTTAACACCAATACAGATGCTTATTCTTGTTTATTCTCGTCTGTTTCCCCACTTTTTTCTCTCTTTTTGTTCTAACTATCATCGTCCTCATCATCACCAACA